AGTTGACCCGTGTAAACATAATCTATCAGGGCTCTGGCGGCTCTAGAAAGCAGTCGTCACATTATAACATGACATTAATCTACTTGGAGGAAACTGTCAGCCATTGGAGCACGGAAGGCTTCTTTTTCCTAGGCGTTCCACACACGGATTTACGCAGCGAGGCAACTTTAGAGACCAAAACTACGCTGTGAACATGCAGCGTGACGTGGTCCTGTAGCTGAAAAAAGGAGGATGAAGGAATCATTCCAGAAACTCACCTCGATAGACAGATCAGTCAATTCACCTGCCAGGCGAAGGTCGTTTAACTGGGGAAGGCATCGAATCAGAGCTGGTTCATCTTCAAATAACTGAGTCTCCTGGTGGACCATTTTGTGCTTGTGCAAAGCAAGATTTCTATCATGAATGGCAAATGTAGTCAGTTTATAGAAAGGGGGTAAACGCATAAGCTTTATTAACGCTCATGTAAAACTACTCGATAAAATTTAACTTCGCCATTCAAATCTGCATTTAAACGACTATACCTATACCTACTTCCGACAACATTATCCATACCTATGTCAATTTGACGACACAACGAATAAAGGCTCTCCAGTTCAGTCGGTCAACTGCACACCTTCGAGCCAGACTGACTCAGTATGTGCACTAGCCCCGGAGACAAGTTCTACCTGCCTCTACCAACAACATTCGCCATGTCTGTTTCAAGTTCACGACATAATGAACGAACGTTCTCCATCTCAGCGGGTCAATTACACCCTTGTAATCTCAACTGAGTCAATCTGTGCACTGGATAGCGTTCTTTCAGATTGTAACCACATATTTTGTTAACCATACCGAAGCTGTCACTAAGCAGGGCTGACGTCGGATGAGATGACGTCCCGAGCATATTCGGACTCACATGCATACAATATTTGGCTAAAGCGTCTCAAATGGTGAGCAACATGAGCACTGTCTACCTCTACTTAATATAGCTGTGATCATACCTGAAACGACCGACCTAGCTGTGACTTGCATAACCCCTCCACACAGACCGAGACGAGATCGAATTGAGTCAAACATCTACTGATCCAACATATTCAGGTGATAAATGTATGCGGATCGTACGGGTTGTGCCTTAGACCCGCCAAGAAGGATTGTCTAAACAAAGGTGCCCAAAATTCCCTGCGTAATCTTAAGACTATCATCACGCCGATCCCAAAAAGGCTGTATATAGCCTATTAGGTCGATTTTCGAATTCCTTCTTGCCCCTCAAATTCGACCTGAGGTTCGGCAAGTTTCCTTCTAGCCCAGCAGCCTCGACGTCTCCAGTGGACGGGCACACACCTTTGACCACCAAAGCTGGACCATCATCTGCGATCTAGTAGAGAAACAATTAGGTTTCGCTTTGCCCAGAACTTCACCATTAGAGCCCGCGCAGGCGGTCACATGGCGACTATGATGATTGGATGAAATGGATGCGGCTGATGACGGCTATCAAGCCAGGAATGGCCATTCCGGTCACCCTTTGCTTTGTCGGATCCATTTCAATTACCGTTATGGCCAAATCGAGCAAACATCGCAAATACCTGTGTCAATTTTCAAAGCACCTCGCGTATCATGCGGTTTTGCTTGACCACATCGAGTCAGTTTACAAGAAATATGGCTCCAAGATAAGCAAAGGGCTCTAGTTCTCGAAGATGGAAGCCACTGTTCGCGAGGGCTGCCCTCTCACATTTAGAGCACTGGTTGATTAGCCGACCAAGTGAACAAATCCAGTCACCCAAGGCAGTGTTCACTAGGTCAAAGTACCTCGATGTTAGCAGGACGACACCGTCAGCGTACTCGATGTTAGTCAGCCAACGTCATTTCAACTGTGATGAACGAGCATGTCCAGCGTCTACCCTGAGACCAGACGC